CAAAGACATGTCATCATGCGACATGGATGCAAAGCACTTTCTTAATAAGTGACATTTTTCCGGCCAAGTTGCTTTTATCAAACGGATTAATTGCCTTTTGAGTACATAAACCTTGATTATGCTTCAGTTTTAGGCAGACAGATCCTCATCACCGCTTTTGGGTTTTGTAGCTAGGAGCATCGGGTAAGATATGTCAACGGACTGAAATTCAAACCAAATCAAGACGAAACTTAAAAGGCATTCCGAAAAAAAAAAGCCCAAACAAGTTAAGTTGATCGTGATAAAAAAGCCCAAACAACAGGCTTGCTAGATATCTTCATTAGACTTGCATATAAGTGCTGCAGAGAGTAATGTTAAGAAGATCAAATTTGTAAATCAATTAATGTGGATATTGATGATTAGATTATTATTTAAATATAATTAACATGCTTATTTTTTATTGGTGACACATCATTTGATTTGCAAATTTATTTTTAAAATTTGATCTCCTTAACGTTATATATGTTGCAAAAAGCCACTCACTTGTTCTATTTTATCACTCAAAATACCCTATTTGAAATTGATTCTAATATATTTTTTAAAAATGGGATGAAGATCCCAGCCCGTTTCTCTCTCTCCCTCCTCCTCCCTTCCCCTGTCTTCCTAAGAAGTTTCAGTTTTGATGTTTACTGTGTTAAATATAGATTTGGTGTGGGAAGCCACAGAGAGAGAGAGAGAGAGAGAGAGAGAGAGAGGAAGACAGAAAGGGGAAATAAAAGAGAGGAAGGAAACAAAGGCATCGGATAGGAGAAAAGGAGTTGCCGCCAGGAGGGGTTGTAACTGGTTTATTGTCATCAGTTGGGGTGAGTAGCGTTGTGACTGTTGGTTTGTGTTTTTAGTTTTTCAGTCTTTTTATTTTTATTTTTTAAAACTTAGGGTAGGAGGGATAGTTAGGGAATAATGGTGGGTGGCAAGTACGGATGGCAAGTAAACCTATTAAATCCAATAACTGTGAATAACCATTCAAATGAGAGGGATTTGAGATTGAAAATTCGAATATTTTACAGCCAAGGATAAGAATTGTGAATGTTATTCGGTTAAGATTTCAAGTAAGGGTTATAGATAGGGTTCTTTGGTCCATATCCGTTCCCGAACAATACAGTATAGTATTCACACATATTGAAATTATTTAAAAATTTCTTTTGTGTTTCTCCTGTAGTGGTTATTGTATTTGTTTTTCTCATTCCTTTTCTTTTTTCATGGGACTAATATGCCTTAATATGCTATCATATTTGGCTTATCATGAACACTTCCAGAAATTATTGTTACGTTTATTTGGATGTGAATATTTAATGACGGGATTAGTATCTATTAAATTATAAAGCGTTAGTTGAACGAATACATTTTTTTTTATTAACGAAGATGGATATAACTGTTAACCGATAGGGACTCCATTACAGACATGTATAGTTATGGATAATCTAGATAGTTAATTTGCGATTATGAATATGATTAATTTTCGTAGTTAGGGGGGTGGATATGACATTTTTGTTCCCAAATCGAACGGTTGCTATCACTAATGGGAAGATAGTGTTAGATTAAAAAAAAAAAATTAATGGTGGGTGTGATTATAATGTGAGTAAAAAAATAGCACGATGGGGCGTCTAGCAACGCTCTTTGCATATATGTCAAAGTATGCATCAATGTATACGACATTTTGTTCAAATTAGCGTCTAAATTTTAACGTTCTGACTTCTGAAGTAAATTTATGCATGCAACAATGTATACAATGCCTTGATGCTTTGCAAATTGTAGCTTTTTTATTTGGTCTGAAGTATACAATTATTCATGGTTAGTGTAATCCATTTGGGAATGCAGAAAAATTATAAAACACACGTGTATACCTATATACAGAGATGGATGCACATTTGGACATAGGTGGTCTCATAACCACGTAGAGTTTAGAAAATATACATATAAAGATCTTTTGAGGATCCTATGAATGTTTTGTACGGCTCTCTTTGTACTTACTAAGTATTTGATGTAATACTAGCTAAACATATCTTGACAAGTTGCATGAACAACACTCGACAAATTCTCTCGATACTAAAATTCGAATCCTTGTTCCGCCACTGTATCTACATAAGAAGTGCAGATATTTAAATGAAATATCTACACCACACAGTAGTGATAGACTAATCTCCTCTCTAGGGTCAAATAGTATGGCCAAAGCAGAGTTGGTAATCCCAAAATATAAATCCATAAGAGTTCGAACTCGATTGAGAGCTCTATTTCTTTGCTTGCTTTTTCACTAGACCAACAGTCGGAGTTCACTACGATTCTTGTTTATGGTCTTCTTTGTTCAAATTTTCATCATAATAGATTGGCTTTAACTTTGAATAACAGAACATCTTAGATCATCATGTAGAAAAATGTAACCCCTTAGAGCACTGTAGACATCGAAATTTCAGTAAAACAAATGTTCACCAATGCATTAAAGTTTTGACGTGTCAAGGCATACATGGCATACGCCACATGTTGTACACATTGTACACATGGCGTGTGACTCAACAAAATAGGAAGAAATACCCTTGAAGGATTAAACAAGTTTTTCTTCTCATTTTGGGCAATGACAAGTCAAGTACATTTCAATCCATTGAGGATCAAAACAAGTTTTTCTTCTCATGTTGGGCAATGACAAGGCAAGCACACTTCAATCCATTACAGATCAAAGCAAGTTTTTCTCATTTGGGCAATGACAAAGCATACACATTTCAAGTTTAAAATGGTGTTAAGTGGGAAATTAGGCCATAAGTTAGACCACTTCAAGTTTAAAATGGTATTAAGTGGGAAATTAGGCCATAAGTTACACCACTTCAATTTCAATATTGCATTAAGTGGGAAAATTAGGCAATGGTGCTTGGAAAGGAAAAAAAATATTTTTGTGGTGGTGATTCATTCTCAAAGCCTATAAATAGGCTTCTCCATCAAGGTATCAAGCATCAAGGAATTCACAAATACATTTCTCTACTCCAAAATTAGAAGAGGAATTCCCCAAATCCTTGAAGCTTTGAAACTCCAAAGCTTCCAACCATCCAAATTCCCAAGAATTCCGAAGGATCAAGAAAGCTCTCTTCGTTCTTCGTTAAATCCTCTTTCAAGATCAAGCCCCGACGGCCCTTGAAGAAAGTGTTCATCCGTTCATCCTAAGCATAAGCCCCCAACGGCCCTTTGGATCAACAACTTCAACAAATCCACACAACCATTATTCAAGATCAAGCCCCGACGGCCCTTGAAGAAAGTGTTCATCCATTCATCAACTGTTCATCCTTAGATCAAGCCCCGACGGCCCTTTGGATCAACAACTCATCCACAAACCTACACCCTACGAAGATAGAATCAGAGGACCAAATTTGAGAAAGATCGTAACCCCAAAATCATCAAACCAAAAAATATTATTTTGTACACGTTATTCTTGTTTCTTGTTTCAAGGAACTTTCGTGTTCACAAACACTTCCACCGGAGGCACATTAGGCCGGCACCCAGTAAAAAAACCAGGCTAGGACTCAGTAAATCCACTCCAACCCACAAACTTGCCTAGCACCCAGCCCAAGTTGGTCTCCAGGCTAGCCCAAACTTGACTAACCAAGGGACCAACCCCTTTTTTGTTTTGCGCCTAGCACGTGGCGTTCACACAGCCGTGGGCATGAGTACCCGACAACTGTTCAGAGGCGGGGTCTGTGGTGTAGGTGCACTCACATCTCACTCCGGGTAGGTGACGTTGCCCACTGTCTGCCGTTGGATTTCCAACGGTAAAAAAAATTGAATTTTAGTTTTGATCTGGATCATCCAATCAAAGATTAATGGTCCACGTTTTCCCCCAAATCTTATCCGAAATTAAAACTATTTTATTTATTTATTCTTTTATAAAAAAATTTAAATGGGCTGGGTGCCAGCGCATTTTTTAGGGGTGAAGATCGTTTGTGCCTGAGCATTTTTAGACTGGGTTCTAGCGCATTTTTTTAGGGGTGGAGATGCTTTGGTTTATGACTGTTCATTAGGGTCTATTACTGTTCACTGAGTGGATAAATCGGCTGGGTGCTGGCTCAAAGTCTTTTGAGGTGGAATTGCTCTTAAGAATCTAGCCAGTTTGTGTTATTTTTGGTTTTAAATTTAATTTGCAGGTTTAGGACCATACTAGTATCCATGTGGAAGTAGGATTCTCTACCTTCCTAATCTCTCTCCCTTCCATCCCCCTCTATTTGAACGATTACGATTAAGCCACGTTAACATTTTTTATTGATTTTTTTATAGAGATAATAAGACAAAAATTAATATGTGAAGGAATGAAAGAAAAAAGGATGGAAATAGAAAGGTAAAGAATCCTACTCCATTCATGTAAACCTCAAAAGTTACGCAACCTAAAAGTCTTGCAGTTACCAAATATAATAAAACAAAATATGAACTAAGCCAGTTTCTGTTTCAAGTGCCCCACATGATTCTTGTCTTAATCTCATCTCAATGTTTTAGCTGACACAGCAGTTTGCCTATGTGCAAGATAAAGGAACCATATTCCCTCTTGAGCTTAAGAGACTGAGCTTATTGAGCAAAGATTTGAACCGTTGAAATTTAATCCAACAATTGCAATTATTATAATTTTTAGAAAGATTCCTATTTGTAATCTTTGAATCAAATTTCAACAATCCAAATCCTTTGTTCAAGAGGCTTAGCCTCCTATACTCAGGAAGGAATCCGATTCCCACGACAAATACTTGTGTGTGGAGTATATGAATGAATATAACACTGATCTCGTGACTAGTTATTTGCGTCATCGGGGTACATTCTGTATGAGTATACGTGACGGAGTGCTATGCTTACACGGATGTATAACGGATGACATGCAACTTTGACCAAAACAAACTTACAAACTAATCAGAACAAGTTTTCGTTCTACAAATGCTTTCGATTTTTAAGATTACCACAAACCAAACCAACGCCACAGTTTTCCGGACTAGAAAACCTTGAAAAACATCACTCTGATTATACATGCATATAAAAAATATAGAGAGAGATAACTTATGATTTTTGTAACAAGGAGTGCAAAATTCCTAAAACCCAAAACCCTAATTACACACAAAGCACCTTAGAGAGGTTGTTGCATTGTCACAACCAGAGGACTTGTCACGGTGTGCTTCCCATCTGACCAAACTATTGAACCACTCGTCACACTTGTGCTACCAGGAGATAGCTTCACTGCCAAAGCATGAACCCTCACAAGAAAATTCAACTTCTGCCCCACCCTCCTAAACGCGAGCCTCTCCGGCTCCACCGTCACTGTCGTCCCCGCCGGTGGACTGATCCTCACCTGATAGACAGACTTGGGGTCGCCCACGTTCGTGACGGTCCGGATAAAATGCGTATTCATCTTATGCTTCCCGTACTGCTGAAACACCACAGACAATGAAGGGTAATTGAGGTTCCCAGCATGTCCAGCCCGCTTTGCCCCATTGCAATTTGCAAGCTTCCTAGTGACCGTTTGTATGTTCTTAGTGGTATAATTGTAGTTGCACAAGAAATTCACATAATCATAAGAAGTAATGTCATAGACCAATCCAGGGTCCATTGCCTTTTGGGGATGAACATGGCCTGCCCCAAAGTCCATGACTGTTGATGTATTGCCACTGGACTCGTCCAGCATGGTCTCGCCTCTGTTGTCCACGGTGTAAGCCGTGGTCATCAGGGCCGACCTAATAGCAGCTGGACTCCAGTCTGGATGGGCTGCTTTCAACAAAGCAGCCAAACCAGACACGTGTGGACAAGCCATTGATGTCCCAGAGAGTATGTTAAACTCCGTATTTCTCTTATCCGAAGCAACACCGGAAGGTCCAATCTTATCCGGCCAAGCTGCCAGTATATTCAACCCGGGCGCAATCACGTCCGGCTTCAATATCTCTGGTGCTTGCGGGTTCGGCCCGCGGGCAGAAAATGAAGCTACGACAGGAGCGGGACGCACCCGGATTCTGGTCCCTTTAAACACAATTGTAGCCGTAGGTGGCGATTTGGACTTGGATGCAGCTGTGATGTACCTTCTGATTTCGTCTCCGGTGGCGGCACCAACCGCGGTGGCGGGTAACACGTGGCAGTCTGCTACAAGTCCTTCACCGTCGAAAACCCCATTGGCGAGTATCATTCCAACCCCTCCAGCTTTCCTCACAACATCGCCTTCGCAGCTCTTGAATTAATGCCACGGTCGCATACGACGATCTTTCCTTTGACCAAATCTTGACTCAAAGAACCTTCTAGACACAAGGACGAGGAGTAACCGTCGCTGCCTTCGCTATCAGCGTAAACCAGAGGGTACATCCGACCAGCTGCGAGACCCGGCCCGGAATATACACTCATGCCCGGGATTGTTCTTCCGTTTCCGAGCTTCACATCGGCCGGGAAGTCCCGATCAATAGTTCCCGCGCCGACGGTTGTCACCCATGGAGCCACATTAGTGACAGTGAGCCCTCCCGGACCGCCGTTACCGGCGGACGCCGACACGAAGACACCGGCGTCAGAGGCTCCGAACGCGCCGATGGCTATGGCGTCGAGGTAGTACGGGACAACGACGCCACCTACACTGAGAGACACGACGTCGCAGCCGTCGGCGACGGCGGCGTCGAAGGCGGCGAGGATGTCGGAGTCGTAGCAGCCGGCGCTCCAGCAGACCTTGTACGCGGCGAGCCGTGCCTTGGGAGCCATGCCGGCTGCGACTCCCTTGGCGTACCCGAGAGTAGACGCCGGGAAAACGTACCGTCCGGCGGCGATCGAGGCTGTGTGAGTCCCGTGGCCGTCGGAGTCTCTGGGGGATCGGTACTCCGTGGTCTCATTCATCTTGCCGTTAGTGGATTCGAAGCCGGCGGAGAAGAAACGGGCACCGATGAGCTTACGGTTGCAAAGGTTCGCCTGCAAAGTCCTTCCCGGCGACGCAGCTGCCTTTCCATTTGGTGGGGATGGGGCCCAGTTCTCGGTCGTGGAAGGACTGGCGTTCGGGCCAGATTCCGGTGTCGATGACTCCGATGACGAGGTCGGACCCAAAGTCGGACTCCTTGAGAAGTCCTGCCGGGTCCGTGGTTCGGAGGCCGAGGAATTCAGGGGAGCGGGTGGTGTGGATGTGGCGGACTTGCTCTGGAATGAGACTGATGACGTGGCTGAGGGACTGGAGTTGGTTGGCTTGGGAAGGGGAGAGCTTGGCTGAGAAGCCGTGGAAGACGGTGGAGTAAGTGTGGAGAATAGTTGGGGGTTGGGAGGAGGAGGAGGAGAGGGAGGAAAGGGAGGAGGAGTACCAGTCATGGTGGGTTGGGAAAATGGAGGGTTTGGAGTCTGGTTGGACTTGAACAATGAAGGTTTTTCCACCATCATTCTGATTATTATTTTCAGGAGAAGAAGAAGAAGAAGCTGAGAAGTTGGATAGGGAGGAGAGAGAGATGATGAGAGAGAGGAGAAGATGGATGAGAGAGAAAGCCATTGGAGTGAGAGTGAAGAGCTCTCTGTGTCTCTGTGAGGTGGTGGGAAAGTTGCTGCTACTTAATAAGTTATGGATGAAACATATTAATGAATATAATAATAAAATGGTTAAGTTGAGGGTTTGGGTGGTCGTGACTGGTCAGTCTCGATGTTGATGTGGATGCGTGGGTGGTTTTATACTATTTGGTACTAATTTGTTTAGGCTTCTCCAAAACATTCAAATTCAATTCAATCGAATTGTGTTAGACTGTACTACCGTGGAAGAAGTGAGTGCTATAATTGTTTGAGATTGTACGCAATCGTGTGTCGTATATCTGATAGTACTCTTGTCCCGTGTTATTAATGAGATGCATTATACCTGTTACTGGGTATGATATGCATGGTTATATGCTAAGAATGATAAACATACTTTTTTTATTTATTATTTTTTTTTATTTCTCACACACTTCTATTAAATTATGTTCATAGTTTAAATTTGATTTATTTAAATTTAACGATCATAAATAAAAAAAATGCATAAAAAACTAAAACAATTGTATAAAATTGACTTTTTTAATATACAATAATGTATGAATATAATGACAAAAATATTTATATTACGAGAGTAAGGTTTTAAAAAATGTTAAGTGCTAGTCAAGCAACGGGTTAGAGCCTAGTGCCTAGGCAGCTAGACGGGGCTATACGGATTAGGAAAATTTAAGTAAATTTATTATATATTGTATAAATAAGTATAAGTTTATATTTATAAAACATACATAATTATATTAGAATACATAAATAACGTATAACATGACATATAAATTATAAAATATTAGAATATATTAAAAACATGGGCACCAAACATATAATAAGTGTTCATCGAAGTAGTCAACAAGTCTATTACATTTTATTGAAAAATTAAAATACAAAATGAAAATGATTGATTTTCTATCAAAGTTAGAGTCGCGACCCAAGCAGGGTTAGTCAGACTAGGTGGATGCCTAAGTAGGTCTTGGCACACTTTTTTAATTTTCAAACTCCTAAAAACTCATCCTAACGATAAGAGCATCCCCAATGGGGGCTTTATCCTCCACAAGGCTATCAAATTTCCAGCCTTAGCAAGAAATTTCATCCCCAACAAGCCGAAAAATAGGGCTAGATCCACCACTAGGACTAACAGCTTCCTTTTTTGGATAGCATAAAATCGAGCTACATCTAGCCCTAAAAAATAATGGGTCCGACAAAAAAGTAGCAACACATGTTAGCAAAATTCTATCACTCTCCCTCCACTTGAAAATACACTTATACTCTCCTTTTATTATTTAATTCTTTTTTCTTACTTATTTTTCTTGCAATTTTGCTAATTAATGATTGTTTTAAATTCCATAAGAATTAAAATTTCAAATTGATTTAACGTTCATGGGCATTGATGGGTGAAATTTTCAAATAATTTTTTTCAAAATTGTACGATACTAATTTACCAATTGGTCCTAGGTAAATTTGTTGTGTTATACGTGAAAATAAAATTATTTTAAAGGGCGAAGTGGTGGTTTGTTTCTTTCAACAAATGAGTTTGAGATAAGAGAATCTAATCCAATGAACGATTCATACGTGATGAAATCTAACTTTGTCACAATTTGAACTTTTTAGGTTGAAGTGTTCATAAAAAAATTTAAGATAGCACGTCCAAAAATCAAATTAAGAAAAGCTAACACACAAAAAAAATCATCGCTTAATCAAACTACTACATAAAGAAATGGAAAAATTAGTATCTGGTCTCTAGTTACTAATGTTCATTGGCTAAGACCGTATTTGTCACATCCCAGCCGGGGGGGACCACTTCCCCGGCCCGCTCCACCACCGTAGCACGATATTGTCCTCTTTGGGCCTCGACCATGCCCGGCCCGAGGGGGACCACTTCCCAAGCCCGCTTCACCACCGTAGCACAATATTGTCCGCTTTGGCCCCGACCATGCCCTCACGGTTTTGTTTCTGGGAAATCACACGAGAACTTTCCAATGGGTCACCTATCCTGGGATTACTCTCGCGCGATCTCGCTTGACTTCGGGGTTCCGATGGAACTTGAAGCCAGTGAGCTCCCAAAAGGCCTCATGCTAGATAAGGATGGGAATATACATATAAGGATCACTCCCCTGGGCGATGTGGGATGTCACAGTATTAGTTTTCAAATTTTGATTGGAATCCCTAGCATTAATGTGATAATGAATTTACATGTTTATTACATATTTTTTTTAAAATAAAAATGAGTAATTGATTTAGAGTTTTAATACTCACACCTTTATTAAACTCCAAATTAATTTTCAATTCAAACATTTCCAAAATAAAAAAAAAAATTAGAATAAGTTTGTACCATTTAGTTTTTTATAAAAAGATTCTCAACTTTTTAATCTTAAATGTACCCATTCATATAATTTTCAATTTTTGTAATCTTAAATGTACCCATTATTAAATATACCAATTTGTTATATGTAAAATGTACCATTTTTTTGATATAAAATGTACAAATTATTTATATAAAATGTTACATCCCACATCGCCCAGGGGAGTGATTCGTATATGTATATTCACATCCCTACCTAGCACGAGGCCTTTTGAGAGCTCACTGGCTTCGGGTTTCGTAGGAACTCCGAAGTTAAGCGAGATGGGAGCTAGAGCAATCCCATGATGGGTGACCCACTGGGAAGTTGCTCGTGAGTTTTCAAAAACAAAACCGTGAGGCAATGGTAAGTCCAAAGCAGACAATATCGTGCTACGGTGGTAGAGCAGGCCTGGGAAGTGGTCTCGCCCGGGTCTAGATGTGACATAAAAAGTACCCAATTTTTTAATATAAAACCATTAAAAAAATTAATCCATTTTTAAACTTATATGGGTACATTCTTTTTTTGTTGATTTGAGAATGTATCTATGTCAACTTTAATCGAAGAAATTTACTAATGTTTTATTAAGCCTAATATCTTTTTTATTTTTTTTTATTTTATGTGTTTTGAAGAATGTATCCATAGTACAACAATTTTTTTTTTTTTGTTAATTTTGTTGAATGAACCCATATTTACACACACACACACACACACACAAAATATAATAGGAAGTATAATTTATATTTTATTATTTTTAATCCCGCAAATTATGGGTTATATTTAAAATCTCATTAATATAAACAAATACAAATTTCAATTTTTATTTTTTAATTTTCAAAATATAATAACTTACATTATTACATTAAAGTCAATGACTTCGATAAAAAACTAAAAACAGATAAGGTTTCAATCAAAGAATATTGATAACTAGGGGCCGCATCTAAAGTGTTTCTAAATATATATATATATATATATCCCCATATAGAGCCTGAAAAATATAGTCTCTCATTAAGAGAAATTCTTTTATAAAGCCTCAAAAATTCATCGAAACTCTAAAATTAACTATATCCACTATTTTTCTAACCCCATATAAAATTCCTCATTGCTTTATCCAGCTACCTAACGCGCCTAAACAACGCTAGACCGAGTTTTTTACAACGCGTACGAGAGTCATGAGACCGACCGTGTAGTGTGCAGGAGGGAACACGGTTTTGTTAATTATATTAACGTGTGATGTCTTGTATCCAGGGTGTGTTCTTGGATGTGATGTTTTGTTTCAAGTTTTTGCTTAAAAACTCATCTCTTTAGTAAAAAACAAAGGAGATTGAGAGAATCTTATGGATGTTATTGTCGTTACTGTGGTTAGTAAAAAATTAAAAAAAATAAAAAACAGCTACATTACGAGAGTCACATAACGAGTTAAGTCTTCAATAGTTCGAATTAAACTAAATAATTTAATTTTATATTTATCAGATTGACAAGTAAGTAAAATTAATATTTTTTTAATTTAATCATGAATGTTGGTTTCTCGTATTATTGAATTCAGATTATAGAACAAAAGTTACAAACGTGTACTTAGAGCATCTCCAAATAATACTGTAAAACAACCAAACTCTATTTTAAAGAGCCAAATTTAAGGAAAAAAATCTTGTCCAACTGACTCTATAATCTAGTATAGCAAAATGAATAATCACTCTTTAAATTTACAGAACAACTGTTCATCAGATTAATATTAAAAAAACAAGAAAACTCATGATAGACGCATGAGCAACGAGAAAATGAAGAGAGAAGGTTGTTTTAGAAAATGAGTGAGTTGAGTTTGAATTGTTAATAATAACATATTCAAAATTTTTTAAATAGAAAGTATGGTTAGAGATAAAAAGTTAAATTAAATAGTTAAAATATTATTTTAATACTGTTCACTTATTAATTTAAAGAAAATTTATAGCTTCTTTTGAAAATACTCTTAAACTATTAATTTGACTAAAAAATAGTGGTTCAAGAAAAATATTACAAAAGAAGAAGGAAAAAAAAAAAAAACAAACAACCAGAGAGAATAATATTTCTGAAAACAGTTGTCCAAACTTAATGACATCAGCTGCTGTGCATGGAGATGAAATTTTTTTTTTTAAAAAAAAAACTTAATATTTCATAAAATCAATTACAAGCTACTTTGTTTAATTAATTATATAGTAGTTAGAGAATGTTTATTTTATGTAGGAAAATCAGAAAAGGTTTCAGCAGTGGAGATCTTGGGCTCTGTTGTCACTGGATCTCCTCAGCATGTGGGTGATGACCTGAAAAAGACAAAATGGAATCTTCAATTAATGAATGAGACACTACCCTACATATTTTTTTTTTTAAATTTCCTAATGTATATGCGCGCGCACACACCCACTATAGTTATAGTATGATGTGTTATGGTTGCAGCTAGGGTTTTTGAAAATAAGTGCACCAATATATATGTATGCATCCCAATGCCATTGCCAAGGCCCAAAGATCACAGCAAAAGAATCTACACTAAAGTACGGGGACTTACACAACACGGATGTACTATAAGGCACCGTTTGGTACGTGGGACAGGACGGAACAAATTGGGATAAGGCGTTCCGTCCCACGTTTGGTGCGCCTAAAACGGGTGGAACGAGCTATTCCACGGAACGAGTTTTGGGTGAATTTTCGTTCCACCTCACCCCCCTGGAACGATTCGTTCCACATCCGTGGAACACAAAATTATAACCTCTCCGTCTCCTTCTTCTTCCTCCTTGTTTCCATCCGAGAGCATCTTT